CATTACTAGAAAGAAGCAGCGTATGCGGCAATTTGTAGCAGGTGGAAGAATTGTGATTAGTCGTGAGCAGTAGCCGAGGTTTAGTGCAGAGAAAATAATACGTCCTGAGAACAACATGATGGAGGCTGAGGAGTGTGTTTTTGGCCCAAGGAGCATAAAAAGATACAATCATAAGAAAAATCTAATAGTTATTTCCAAAATTTTAATCATACGTGTAAGATTACCGGGATCGAGGATCTTTTCACCCAGTTCCCGTAGAGTTTGCACCTCCTGCTCTTTGGGTGCATGTAATACGACCATTGTTGACCCGCAGAGACAAACTATGCATCCGATTTTCCCTGGAAAGTTCAAGTCCTCTCCAAGGAAGTGAGAACTAAGCACAGCGCTGACGAGAACAGAAAGGCCGCCCATCGGTGTAATCAAGGAGGCGGGTGCAAAGGCGTAACCAGCGAAATTTGCGCCTTCCCCAATGCCCATGAGGATAAGACCAAACCACCATACCCAATCGCATAGATACTGCAATCCTCCATCGCCTAGACGCCAAATTGCAAGAAACCAGGGAAAAAACTTAAAATAATTGGACTTAAATTTGGTGAAACTGGCACTCCAATAGAACTGGAGTCATAACTCGCTTCTGTGCTCTAGGTAAACGGCTAAGCCTTTTCAAAATGGTCGGCAGTACAGCAAAATTAAAAAGTTTAAGACTTGGAATATTTACAAACATTGGGATGGCCGGTAAAATATTTATCGAGGTATGCTGTTCGCAACACAGGGACACGGTACAGTCATATGCTGACATTTTATGCGGTCTGTTTGCTGAAGGCCAATTCCAACCAATTCGATACTTCAGTTGCCGAAAGTAATTAGCAGCAACTGCTACTGATACTAACCTTATTTTATGTTCAGAAACGGCTTTTATTTCAATAAATATGAGCAGTTGGATATGGTGAGACGAAACGCAAATGCTTTTGTTAAAGTTTGTCTGAGTCATCGGCTCATCGCTGATAACAAATGAGCCCAATGATGTGGCAAAAGTGACCTCATCGAAATCGATGGTCGAACATACACACAGCAGGTGAAGAATGCAACAACTCGACGATCGATAGTTAGGCGTGAATGGACTAAATGTTTGCTCTTGACTCAAAAGAGATTAGATTGAGAACCTGCGAATTTAGCACCACAGGGTTCTCAATTCTAGACCTAGCTATCTTTCTCAGAATATGCAATGGAAATTATATTGATGACCATGCTAACAGTCAAAAGAAAATGACGGGACATATGAACTTTTCCCAGATTATGTCCAATTATGATTGGATATTGTAAGGTAGGAATAGATAAAAACGATGTAAAGAAATTTCAACAAGAAGCAACGATCCACTATGAACCGGACGCTGGTTGAATTCCTCTCATTCCGTTTTAAAACGCTTCTTTTTAATTCTGAAGGACTCATTAAAAAGCATGCTTAGAAAGTAGTATGCACTGTTTTTATAACCCGCAGCACGATAAGACACACAACTTTATTCAGAAGAAACAATCAATTTTAAACACGAAACTGAATACCTATATAATCACAGTTTTCGCAAATGTTAGTATACAAATAGGACTAATTAAACTGCTAGCGAATGGTGTGAAAACGCAGTGCTACTAGCTAACGTAAAGTGTACAATATCCAGTTTAGTAAAATCGAGTACAAACCTGCACGGGTGCCGTTAGCCGCTAGCCTACGTAAAGCTATTTTCTTAACGATAAAACTGCATCCGATGAAAAGTGTTGAGAGCAAGGCCAATGACAATCCAATATAAAAATTGACATCGGGAGTTACAGTGGACGGCATCACAAAGATCCTACTAAGACCAGTTCAAGTCCGGCGGTCGTTATCAAATTATCCAACCACAATCTAGATTGGTCGTGCGATCTCCACTCTCTTCGGTTGTAATGCAACACAGCGCCCAGGTCAGTGTTTGTTTTACCGAGTGAAGGACAAACAGTAGCAAGATTGAGTAACGGATGCAGAAATATGAAAGATGGAGTTTGAGGACAATCTATTACTTAGAGTATAACTTAGAATATTATTTTTGTGAATATTATGTCAGATTTGCATAACTGTGTTCCGTTGTCGGTTGAATAGTGTTTTCAAAGGCTCTGCCTATCTCCCTTATATATACTGATAAAATGTTATTCTCTCCAGATTTTCCAGATCTCCAGCCTCGAAAGTCTACAGCAGGACAACGGTCAAAACAACCGATATCCTATTGACTGCTCTCTGTCAATAGTTCAACGGGATCATTTAATGTACGAATGGCTGAGTCGTTTCGATAACATGCTCATCGGCTTATTGTTTGGCAAATGACTTTAATAGTTTTATCATTATAACGATCCATTATGGTAGTCGAAAATAAATCCTTAAAGTTGTTATGCAAAATGTTCGCCAAGGGAGAGATGCTGACCCGTGCAAGAGTGCAATAGACCCAATATGGAAACTTCCACATTTTTACACAAAGACACGAACTCGGAGATGACAGGTGTTCAAAATCCAAGGAAACACAGCTTTATCAGCCGCAACAAGCAATGGGGAGAATAGCAGCGCACATATAAGTTGTAACCGTTTAGAGAACGAACTACAGGGATCTCAGAAACCGAAGAAGGCAACACTGGTTTAAAAGTCCCAACGTACAGAAAGCAAAAGAGTGCGTATTGATGTCACATGCTAAGCCATGCATGAGACCCCACGATTGGTTTCCTAGCGTGCCTCTGGGCAGACCGCATGTTTGTCTATCGTGTCAAAGGTAGGTTAAGTTTACGAACGTGTGTTTACCCT